TCAACTCGTTAGATTACTTAGTGGAGTACCTGTACAAGCACAATCCAAGAAAAGATGGTCGAGATGAGATAACACTTGCTAAAATTCCTTTTGTTGAGGAAGAATGGAAAAAGAAGTCAGTTATAATCCATTATATTTGGCACATCATAATCCTTTTCTTCCAGTCCAAGGCGACCACTGCCTCCCTCAGCTACACTAAGTGAAGATGAAGCACGACTGATCATACAAGCAGCATACAGAGGATATAGAGTAAGAATGACTTCGATAATGGGAATGAATTGTAAGTGTATTTTCAGACAAGGTGTAGAGAAGATGTACAGCTGTTTAGAGAGTGGCAAAAAGGACGTAGAAAAGTATGCAAAATGAGACAAAAATCAAGTTTTAATCATCATAATTTTTATCTTCATAAGGAGATAAATGCAGTGAAAGTGATACAAAGAGAATGGAGAAGACACAGGGAGGAAAAAGATGACAATAAAACAAGTGAAATGAAGATGGACCAAGAAAACGAGAACGTTTAACTGAATAGATTCCTCTAAATTATTGCTTGAAATCATCAGTTTGATAGTAACTCAGAAGCTTGCTTGCACGTCATTGAAAAATGAATCCTCTTTGAAATGGAAGCTCCAACTCTTCTAGTGCTAGCAATCACTCCTGCACCTCGTCTGACCTACAATTAGTACACATGCACTGTTTGCCATGGGCAGCAACACATTTCCTAATACCTGTATGTCCTCTAAAAGTGATTCAGCCTCTTTTTGTGAACTACAGTTACCATAAGCCTATTTATAATAATAGAAATTAAATAGAGTTTAAGTTTATATCTTACCTTTAAGAGATGTGATGGTGAAGGGTACTTGGTAATGATTGCCGAAGCAACTGGAGTTGATACTCCAGGATACTGTAATAACTGATGCTGCCAAATCAGTCCAGTCTTATCGCCTGCTTCCTTCAAAGCCTATAAATGCATTAGTTTGATGATAAGAGAGAAATTAAAATTTGCTGTGGCATACTTTTCTTGTTGCCCCGGGTCCTAAATCTCCATGAAATGAAAAAGAATCCTCCTTCCTATGCAACCTCAAAAATAGAACATTAATAATATTTAATACTTGAATGGTCTGTCAGCTAGTGCCTTTGTATAAGTGATAATGATATCAGCAACCAGTTCAGGAGAATTACATAACCTTACACTACACCCTAATACAACAAATATAAGATAAGTCACAATGCCCATTCCGCTACCTGTTTCAAGTTGTAGTCCTACCATAACATTCTCACAATCAAAGTATGATAGTACTTCTCCTGAATTTAAATGGACAGCTTTATTTTTACGGACAGCTGCTCTAAAAATTCTATCCCTTTGCGTCTTTTGGGCTCTAAATAATTTTAAAGCATTAATGCATATAATACATAATAATAATTATTATACCTCAGTGCTGCATCAATACTGTTGACAAGGATGACAACATTCTTTGGATCACGTCCTTGAGCAAACCTTTGCATAAACTGCAATAAAGTTTCATCATCAGATTGACTGGTTTGATCCTAGTATAAAAATACATAAAATTTAGCATCAGTCACAATCAAGATAGCTTTTGATTACCATTAATTTTGAGGATGCAACAAGCTTTAGAAAATGAGTCCCTGACTCTATTATACACAAGAAATCTTCATCAATTTCCTGAACATTCTCGATGACCTAAAAATGAATTATTGCTATCCTCAAAATTTTGGTATACTGCTCAGGTTCTTGCCAGCTCAGATTTAGCTTGCTCATTAGAGCTTTGTAGAAAACCATGATCCATGGTATTTCGCCAAAAATGAAAAGCAGAGAATTCTCAATTTTTATAATATTTTCTGATGCATATACATGTACTTATGTTGCGTAGAAAGTTTGGGCTCATTCTGATCAAGTTTGGATTTTTTATGAAATTTCAAAGTTGCTCCAAAATTGGGGCAAAGTCCCTGTACTATAGTACAGGGATTTTGGCCAAATTTTGCCAAAAATGAAAAGTAGAGAATTCTCAATTTTTATAATATTTTCTGATGCATATACATGTTCTTATGTTGTGTATAAAGTTTGAGCTCATTCCGATCAAGTTTGGATTTTTAATGATTTTTTTAAGTTGCTCAGAAATCGGGTCAAGGTCACTGTATTATTAGTAACGCGGTAGCGTTACTAAGTAGGATTCACCCCACTTCAAAATGGCTGCCACGACTTTTGCAGCCTTGCTATACCGGGAAAACGAGCTCCTATGCTTACCAGACTTTATAGAGGACCTCATCTTGACCAGAGGACTCCATTGGTACCACTAGTGTGGCTCTAAACCTTGTCTGAGAGGAAAGCCAAAAATCCGGAAAACGGCCGTTTGTC